ATGAAAGGAGGATTCTTACACGAGAATCTCAAAAAAGCATGCCCTTTGAGAAATATAGCAATTAATTATGCAATTTATCATTCTTCGGATTGTTCTCACAAGACAACCTATGCATGTCTAGAGTTTCAATCTATTTGCAGCTCAAACTATAAAACCCTATAAGAGATGTATAATTGCTGAAAGAGATACAAATTAGACAGCCCACACAATCATGTTAAACAGGGATTATATATCTCTTTAATACAGAAATTTTGGCCTTTTTTCTGGAAGGGATGTCAGGAGTAAATCATAGGTTTCCTCGATACCAGGAGTATGGTAGTTAAGAAAAGAAGCATCCATACCAAGCAACGCTACAAAGTAAAATCAAAGATCATACTAGAGATGAGAATAAGATAAATATATACGATCATACTGTTCATACTCGATATCATTGTTTCATTCATCTAATGCACAAATCTTCAAACATATGATGGGCATCGTCCAGAAAGGTAAACTGACAGGGAGCACAAATCGACCTGAAAAGGAACTGTCGGTTGAGATTGGAGACCTCGATGGTGTCCATATCAATGACATCGATGTTCTTGAATCCTGACAAGGCCAAGTCCTTGAGCAGCTCGCAGCCCAAACCGCCGGCCCCGACCACAAGCACCCTCGCGATCTCCCCGATGTCCTCCCTCAGCTGCAGAAATCGATCAAAACGAAGATAATAAGAAAGTAGGAGGACATGATCGATGTCTCTTTCTATAGTAACTGCGATCGAGGCTCACGGTGGGGCTGGGCTCGAAGTCCTGCCCGACGATGTTGCCGGGGCGGGCGAGGAGCTTGTCGACGTCCCTCCACCTTCCGGGATCCGACGAGACGTCCGCCATTGCTTACTCCCTCAGCGACTCGCTGCTGCTGACGTTGTATTATCTTCACGGCTGTGGGAGAACAGCAAACCCCAACGAAGAAGACGCAGCGGCCGCGTCTCGAAGCAGAATAAGTGCTGGTACGGTGGACCTGCGGAGCAGCAACCTTTCGTCTAAATAGAGGTCCACCTATTTGTTCCTCACCCCCCCAACCAAATGCCTTAAGATTCCGATTCACGTTTATGATTTGTATCAATGAACTCAATATAAATTACATCTATATTTATTTATTTATTGATATTGTATGTAATGAAAAGAATGATACAAAGTTTTTATAATATTTTTTATTTGGATGTAATGTCTTCTATATAAATGAAAACATAATAAATAACTTTTTATGGGTTCATATCCATTTTTTCTCATTGTATCCAATGGAAAAGGAGGGGATAATTACACATTACCCTAATATTTAATTAGGATTAGTATTTTGATCTTTATATTTTAAAAAATAATATTGGGCCCCCTACGCTTAGGAAGATAAAACATTTAATCTCAATTCTTCATACGACATTTATCACATGCAAAAAAACGAATGAAAAAAATAAAATTATAAAATTTATTTTTTAAATTATTAATTTTATATAAACTTTATTAATTTTCTCATTTGCTCTTCTTTTCAAACTGCTCGCTGTAGCCTTTTGGTCCTTCTTGCTTGCCCGTCACATATGTCGCACATGTTTACTGCAAGTAGTTTCGAAAGAGGAGAAGAGAAAACCAATAAAGTTTATATAAAATTAATAACTTAAAAGATAATAAAATTATATTTTATTCTTTCCATTTGTGTTTTTTTTTTTTTGATAATTTTTCGTCAATAAAATTAAGAATTATGGTTAAATATTTTATTTTTGTAAGTATATAAACCTAGTACTATTTTTTAAATAATAGAGATCGGAATACTAATTATAGTTAATTATAAGGGGTAATATGTAATTATCCCCAAAAAGATATAAGAATTTGGAAAATGACCCCTTATGTAGATATATGAATGAAAACATTGTAATGATGTTTCATAATTTTTAATCTAATGTTGTTGGTTATCATGTTGATTGTATCATTCCCTATTTGAAATGACTAAATGTCAGTTGATAATATTTGTGTTTATTGGGATGATGATCTTCTTAATGATGCATTATTCTCAACAAGTCTGCTAATTAGAATAGAATTATCCCACCAAAGACAAATAGGTGGTCATCATATATTATTGATAGAGAAGTTACTCATGTTAGAAGACAAAACCAACCAGGTGGTCATTTGATTTGAATAACCAAAGTTTCTTAGATAAAAATAAAAAGTAATGATATAATTGAAATTGAATTGGCTAAAATATAGATGTCATTTATAACGTTTTTAATAGTTTTATAGTGTCTTTAGTACTTCAATAAAAATACTTAATACTATTAATTAAAAATATTATAAATAAGTTAAATGGAATAAAAAATACATTATAAACTATTTAATATACTACCATGATTCAAATAGATATTTATAGTTGATTATGAATAACATCACCCAAGTGATATAAAGTCTTATCTAAAAATACTATTATATTTAAAAGTTCAACAATAATATTATTATGTTTAATAGTCTAGGAATAATATTATGCCAAATAGGCATCATGTTAAGCTTGGAAAAAAATATTAAATGTAGATATAAAAGTGCTAAGAAAATTATGCTAACATATAGGGTTGTAAAACATGAAAATTAAAAAATTAAAATAAAAGGAACAAATCTAGTGCAAAAAATTAAATGGTGAGATAAGTAGTATAAGATACAATGCAACAAACGAGAAGAACACAAATTGATAATAAGAAACGAGACAATCGTAAAGAGAAACGACACTCACTCTAAAGAGAATACAATCAACAAGAAAAGATCGATAAGTATCCTTGGGTAATCAACGAATGTGAATGTTTTATCTTTGGGTAATCAACAATTAAATCTTCATAAGAGAAGAGAGAGATTTATCTTTGGGTAATCAACGAATGTGAATGTTTTAGTTTTTTTTAGGGGAATGAGGGTCAACAGGACTAGGGTCACTAGGGAACAGATCGATGAGAATAACACAAGGAGAAAAAAGAGCCGATGAGAGTTACAACACAAGAGAAAATGAAACAATCGATGAGAGTTTAAGGTTTAGGGCACAAAAGAAAAAGAAATATGATAGAAGCAAAATAGGGGAAAAAAGTCATACTTGGCCGCGAGAGGAGTTAAAACAACCTAATTTAGGATATGAGAAAAAAAAAAAAACAATGATGAAAGTTTAGGGTTTTAGGGCATCATTGATGTGGCCCGTGAAAGAAGAGAAACCTTTGAAATCAATAAAAACTTTTTTTTTAGAAAATTCATCTTATATAGTATCTCTAATAAACTATTTATTCTATTGAATAAAATTATAGAAATTCTCTCACATATCATTGTTAAATATAATTTTCACATATATTTCCTTCATCTCTCTAACTCAAGTCTAAAATGGATTTCATGTGAATTCTCATAAAATAAAGTAACATGACATCAAGATATCAAATGATGCACTGTATGATTTGATCTTTAATTTATAGCACTAAGAAATTTGCCCACCAACTCTCTTTTTGAAATTGCATTTTCAATCTTAGATTATTTAAAAATCATCTTTATCATACTCCAAAATCCAACTAGTAGTAACAATATCTTTGCCCAATATGTCATGCCTTTGAGAACAATAACTAGAAGTAAAACCCATCAAATGGTGTGCAAAGAAATAAATCATGATACAATATATTATTATAAATAAGGGGATTATTTTGTGGCAATTATTATAATAAAAAACAAAATCCCAAATCTCAATCCTTGCAAATCATTTAGTAAGTATATTATATTACATGTAATATTTAAATGAAATAATAAATTTATAATAATGCTGGCTGGGCCTCACAATCTCACTCTTAACTTTCCTCTCTCTTTACACAGAGAGAGAGAAAGAAGAGATCCCAACGGCTAGTCACGAGAAAGATGTCCTTCTCCAACGTTAGATAGAAAAAAAGCAAAAGAAGAGCAGTAACGCAGATGAGAGGCTGGTCAAAGTCTTCATGGCCTGTGGGTGTGTGTGTGGTTGGGTGTTACAGAGGTAACCCGTGATCTCTCTGTCCATTACCCATTGGAAGTGAAGCCACGCGCCCACATCCCGATAAAGAAGACGAAGGGAGAAGGCTTAATCCTCACCTACTAGGAGTAGGTTCGACTCGGAGTGATCCGAGAGATCAGACATCGCATTTCCCATGCCAAGCAGAAGAAATGGCATCGATGGATTGGTAGTGGACGCGATTGATGGATCGTAATGGCAGTAGGAGCCCTGTCTGTGAGGATAAAAAAGGACGATGGATTGGACGTGGAGTAAATGAGTCGTCAAGGACGGTGTAGGGCAATTGACTGATACCCTCCGTACGTGCAAATCCTGACACCCTTGCATGCCTCGATCCACGCGGTAGATTTGTCGTTTGATTTGGGGAACACGGTTTCAGAGACTCTTCTTCTCCGTTGGAATCGGGAACGGAGATGGGGGAGACTTCGAGTCCACCCACCACCTTCCATTGGAAGAACAGTTGTTATCAGTGATTCCAGAGATAGAGAGAGAGAGAGAGAGAAAGAGATGTAATCGATGTATCAGGACAATTTGGGTCAAAAGTTTTTGGGAGCAGAGACTTATGGAGTCGAGTAAAGAAAGGAAGAAGGAGGAGGAGGAGGAGAAAGAAAAGGTTGAGTGAGAACAGAGGAGGGCATCATTTCATCCTCCCAAGCTCGCCTCCCAAGACTTCAAAGCATCATTCTCTCTTTCTCCTTTTTCTTTTTCTTTCAGAGCCACAGAGAGAGGAAGAGTCGTAGGATTAGCTCCCATCCCCAAGCAGAGGGAACGTGATTTCTGACTCATAAGCATCGGTCATAAGGAGACTGTGCATTCTAATGCTATTCCGAGAACAAAGGAGTTCATACAAGACCTCATTTCACGCCATGGAAACGCTCGAGACCTCGAGGTTTCGTCATCATCCTTGAGACTGCAATGGCAACTTGCATGTGCTCAAAGCAGAAAAGATTTCTAACCTACTGCAGCAAAAGAAAGAAAGAAAGAAGCAAAGTGAAAGACACTTTGATCATTATTACTAGCAATCTGAAGTTTGTGAACACAGTGACACATAACAGGAAAGCTTGATAGCTCCCTCATCATCTCCACCACAAGTCCTAAAAGAGAAGAACCAAAGTACAACTCTCAAATCCTTGCTAGATAATATAAAATAAGACCTTTCTATATAAATTGCACCTGAAACATATATATAGTTTCTTACCTAACTAGAAAACAAAGGAGAATAAGAAGAGAAAAAAAATGGTGAATTACCCATTTTTCATGTATCTGCGGCAGAGACTCCACTAAGCCTCTTCTCTTTGGATGACAAATTTCCCCACCCAGTGAACTCGAAATGAGATGTAGAGTGAGAAACACAAGGTTCAAGCAATCAAGCTTGGTTCACATGATTGAGCAACTGCTGCTGGTGTTCTCATCACTGAAGTAGGTGGTGTAGGAATCGCCTTGGTGCGGTGCCGTCGCTGGTGCCAGTGCCGGCGCCGGTGGCATGTTGTAGTACATCGGTAACGGTGGTCGAGAATAACCTATCATTGGCTGGAAGGCGCGATCCTGGGCATTCATCATCATCATCCTCTGCTGCTGCTGTTGCATTTGTTGCTGCTGCAGCATTGCAGCCATGTACTGCTGCTGCTGCTGGTATGGATGGGCAGCGGCGATCACCTCGGGCGGTGGCGCCACCATCCCTCCTTGATAATACCCGGGCGGTGGGCCTCCCGCCGGGTGGGCTTGCACCGCCGCGGCGGCCGGAAAGTTCCCCATCTGGCCCATCGGAGCTTGCATGGTACCCATCTGGTGTACTACACCCAGGCCAGGGAGTCCTTGGCCGATCATGCTTGGATTCATCATAAAATGGCCGCCGCCGCCACCACCACCGCCCACCTCGTTCTTCACGAACATTCTCTTGGCTCCATTGACTGGATTGGTGTTGCAGTTCCCAGCTTGGCCACTGGCATTGATGCTGCCATTGCCAATGGGAGCTCCTTTGTTGCTATTAGCGCCATTCTTACCGTTCTGTGGCCCAGCATTACCACCATTCTTCCCCCCACCAACACCATTATTCTTAGTGGCAGATCCACCACCAATACCACCCTGGTTTTGATTTCCACCACCACCACCACCCCCCCCGTTTTTACCACTTCCACCAATACCAATCTTCGGCTCATTGGTATTGCACATGACTTTTTTCTGCACAGGCACATCTGCGCCTTTCTTACCGCTGCCACCACCGCCATTTCCGCCCTTCTTATCCTTCATGGCATTCCCATTCGGCGTCGCAACCGCAGGCTTGATCTTGATGTTCTTGAAGTCGTCGTCGAAGTCAGCGTCATAGCAGTCGAACTCATCCATTTCATCATCGTCGTCGTCATCAAATTCATCATCATCGAAATCATCTTCGTCATCGTAGTCATCGAAGCCCTTGGGAGGCAAGCTGAAGCTCACAGATTTGGGATCCTTCGGTGGTAGGAAGTTGAAGTTTTTCAGCTGAGGCAGCTGCACATCTTTGGACCCTTTCATCTGCTGTAGCTGCTGCAGCTGTTGCTGAAGCAGCAGCTGCTGCTGTGGTGTCGGTTGCGGGTGCTGGCCTTTCTGGTCCTTCCCACCAACCCCAGCTCCAGCTCCACCACCACCATTTCCACCCTTCAGAGGCTTCCCACTGTCCTTCTGCTGGCCTTTACCACCTTGTGGCTGTGGTTTCTGGACCGGGTTGCTGTTGTTGCTACCGCCCTTCGGAGCCAGCAGCTCTGCATGTTTGCCAGCCTTGGCAAGCTTTTTGACGAGGGTGGCAGGATCAACATTACCCGAGACAGTCACCTTCCCCTGCTCTGCATCAATGCTGGTTGTGTACACCCCTGATAGCAGAAGGAATCAAGCAAGGAAGAGGTAATTACAAAATCAAAATCAAAACAATCCTCTCGAAGTAAATTACAAAATCAAAATCCCCCTACACATGTGACCACACTAGAGGAGCTACAACATTTAGATCAAAGAAAGGCAGAGATCGGTGTTACAGTAAAAGTACCATCAATCTTGTGGAGCAGTTTCTTGACCTTCTTCTTACATCCATCACAGTGAATGTTCACTCTAAGAATACATGTCTGCAGTTGGAGCAATACATCCCCCCAAACAATGAAACCATTACAAGCTATTTCAAGTAAAACAACAGATGGACACATGAAGAAGCTCTTCTTGAGTCCAGGAGAAGAAATGGAAGGTAGAGAGAGAGAGAGAGAGAGAGAGGGGTAAAAGGCTTACCTGTATCTTGAGGAACCTGATGTCTTCCTCTTTACTCATCCCCTTCACTTCTCTGGAGAACAAGACCAGAGTGTCTCCTGTACCTCAAGCAATTATCTTGTGAAAGTGGAGGCAGGAAGAAGATAACAAGGGAGGGCAAGGATCAAGAGCAACTCTTTATTCAGTGAAGTCAAATCATTCCAAAGCAAGGAAAGAGGAGAGAGAGAGAGAGATGAGTTGAGAGTTTTCTCAGCAAAGATTCATGCCTGGGTTCGAGTGTTGATTGCCCCAACCATGGCCATTTGTATCCATTTCTCAGGTGGTGTGCAGACTTCAACACCAGCCTTGACCACGTGCTATTCACGTGCACCACAGTTCTACACTGGTCCACCTGTACTTTTTCCTATCATCACCTGACCTAAGATAAACAACAATAATAACATTATTATTATTATTAACTGTAGAAATTTAAAGAACCTCTAAAAGAACATTATCTCCAATTGTAATATTAAATATATATATATATGTAATTTGATTAATGGATAAATTTAGTTAATGAAAAATACTTAGCTCTCTGTCATTTATGAATAATAATCCCTGAATACCAACAAAATCTTGATACATTAAATTACTGAGGTACCTCAGTGCAGCTATTTCATTCATATACTTTTAATATCTATATGAAGAAACTTCATTTGATTATATCGATTTGATTAGAGTACAACAAAGGATATGAGACGATGATTTACGAGAGTCGATTCGGATTCATATATTTTGAGATCATTGGTGAGTTTGATCACCAATAAGCAAAATTTTATTTCTTCTTCTCAGGACTGTGTATGTGGTTTGATCACTTAGAATGCGTATTGGGGGATATGTAATGAAGGGAGGCTGCAAGAGTTGATGAGTCAAAAGGCAGATGAGTCAGTCAGGCTTTGTGTCATGTCTCTGACAAAGCCCCGTTCCAGAGTTGGCTGTGGAGGAGCAGATTGGTGAATGCCACCGAAGAAGACATTGATGATGGCATAATGGTGGAGGAGGAGGCAGTAGCTGCAGCTACCACAAAACTTCAACTCATGTGACTACTATTGCCCAAAACTCTCACTCTGAGGATGCTTCCTTCTCTCAGCTGTTGTTTCCTTCTCTCTCTCTCTTTAGCTATTTTGATAATGATGTTTGCATGCACATTTAGAAAATGATACATTTCAGTTCATGTAAACTGAATAAGTTTACTCATTAATTGAATTCAAAATGGGATATATATATACTCATGGTGAATTTTTTTAAAAAAAAAATCTCTATTTTTATAAAATTCTTAGACAACATTTTAATTTTTAAAATTATTATAAAATATTTTTTAATAACGATATTATCCTTATCGGTCATCGTTTCCGTTCATCACCGCTCGTTCTTATCAAACTCAACCTTCTCGTTAGCCCTTTTTCCTCGTCTTTGAAAAAAAAAAGAAGAGGGGTAGTACAGGAAGATAAATTTTTCTTGTCGTCGATCGTAAATGAAAAAGAAGATTATAATAAGAGGAAGGAAACAAGAGCACAAATCAATAGTAGTAGGTGAGAAAAGAGGTAATGACAAGATTTTTACAAACAAGAAATATTTTTTAAATATAAAGATTTTTTTTAAAAAAAATTCACCCTATCCTCATCTGTTGGCCCTCACAGAAGAAGGATAGAATAAATAATAATAATAAAGTTTTATTATCTGGTTTTTTTTGTTGACATGTGATTACTGTATTGGCTTTCTATTAAATTCACTACTTATTTTTGTCTACTTCAGTTAGTTAACCTAAGACTAATCTATCAAAGGTTGTAGATATAAAATCTCATTTGACATTTGGTAGGCTTCATTTGATAATTTTAAGAATGTCAGCTAACTTAGCTATTAAGATTTTGATGGTTAAAATCATAGTCTTTACTGTTCACCACATGCAAAAAAAAAAGAAGAAGATTTTGAGATAAATGGGTCATTTCTTCAAGGAGAGGATTTCAATAATAAGGGTTTCAAGACCATGTAAAAAATCTTTTGTTTTTCCCCTTCAACATTTGTGTTTAAAGCTTTTGGAAATTAGAATTCTTTTATTAGAGGATTCTTTAAATTTAAAATAATAAGTGTTTAAAAATTTATAGATAGATAATCAAACTTATTACTCTCGGAACCCTATTTATTATATTTTTGATGCATTGATCTGTAGATAGATAATCTTCAGTCGACATTGATCAGTAAATCTAGTTTGATGCATCATGGCTTTTATGTTTTTGTAGTTTTATCCCAACATATAATGTGTAAGCATATCCAAATTGAAAGTTAAACCAAACCATAGACTTGAAATAAATTTATTAGCAATTTAAGTAGATTATAGTTATGTCATATCTTTTTACATAATTGAGTTGATTTTCTTAAGTTCTCTCTTTTTTTTATTTCTAATTTATTGATATCAAAAATAAATTATTCTAAAAATATTATACTATTATATTTTTATCATATTGTTACTACTTATATATAATTTATTATTATTATTATTATATATTTTATACATCAATTGCATAAAATTATCTACTTAATTTTATCTTTAAATATTGTACAATTATAAAATCTATTGTTCGCATCAAATAACAGAAAATTTGAAATAAAAAAGATGGAATTTTATTTTTACTCTTAGAGGATATTCCGAGTAAAATAAATAATTTTTTTATGGTAAAAACAGAAAAACTAAAGACATTCTTTGGGTAAATTGTTCGCATATATAAGTATATATATATATATATATATATATATATATATATATATATATATATATATATATATATATATATATATATATATATATATATATAT